GGGGGGGGGGGGGTAATGGTGGGTAACATTTTGAGGGCAATATGTAATGTAATTACACCACTGCTGGTTCAAATGCTAAATCCAATGGCGTCCTGACCTCAGTGAATCCATCCTTTAGCGGACTGAGGGGCTCGCTGGGAGAATTTCCAGGGAAGCTGATCTTCTTCCCCTCTTCAAAAGGCTTGGTGGGAATCCTGTGGAGGTATCCATAGCCAATCCCACATCCGAGGCTGGAAAATGGAGGAAAGAAAAGTTCAGAATTCAACAAACAAATCAAAAGAGTTTTATTCAAACAGATGTGAGATTAGCCTGGTTGCACACCACTGGATAACAGCAGTTCAAATAAGCCTGCTGTTGTACAGTGAGGGCCATTTCCCCAGCTGAGCTGGGAGATCAGTTTTGTGGGGGGATTATAAAGGATGACGCCATCTTGACATGGCCAAAATGTGTAGTGAGCAGTGTTCAAGTCAACTTACAGAAATAATCACTGTTACACCTGCAGTAACTGATTTGTTGGCTACTTGAGGCTAGCAGAAACAAGTTGTGAACACAGCATTGACATATCACCCTTTAAAAAAGGAGCCCGGTGTTTTCTTGTAAACAAAAGTTCTCTTTACATTCAGTTTTACACACAAAAAACACATTGTTGTATCCTTGGGCTCTAATGAATGTATTGAAAGAATGCTCATAAAACCAATGACAGGAAGGTACATGCATGTAAGATAAACAAAACAGGGGCCAACAAACAAAACGGCTCCATAGGTCAAATCCCCACAGGGAGACTTTAAGCTGATATGGCAAACTTGTTAGCAAAAAAAAAACCTTTTACATATCCAGCAGTTACAGGTGAACATTATCATTAATGTGGAGTGTGTCCATCTGCAAATGTAAGCCCAATATGCACTCATATGCTCTTATAGCTCTGTTTTTGGTCTCTACCACCTCCTGAGGGAACAATCTTGCTCTTTAGCTGCTAAATGCTCCACTATGTCGCCAGCTGCTCTCTCAGTGTGTCTGTTGTTTGGTGCTGAGCGGTGTTCTAACAATGAGCTGAAACTCACTATAAAGCTCTGTCAAGGTGAGTGGAGCTGCAGAATCCGCTGTAGGTTCATCACTACAGGTGACCCCCTTCCACATGGTATGGAGGTTTTCACAATCTCTTTTGATTGTATTATAAAAATATCCATTATAGCCGCTTTGAGTGAGCGTATTTAGTCGACCATCATGAGGACCATTAAAAGTAACTGCTCCTAGCAACCGCTGTCACAGCTTCCGTGCCGGAATCCGCTAGACACTCACTACTACAATTTTTATTCAGTCAGATTGCTGAACTACAATATCATTCTGTATATTTCTTTTGGAAGTCAAACCAACTCAAAAAAAAATGTACAAACTCCACTTTATGCCTATAGCTCTAGGGAGGAGGGTGTAACAGCCAAAACTGTGAAATATGCCTTTAAGAGACTGTTGCCTAGATACGAGAGAAGCGTCCATCAGACAGCACCTAACCTGTCTTGAGTGAGTTGAGTGGTACACCTACTGTGAATGGATGCCTGTTGCTGAGCTCCTGTTTGGACTACGTGTGGCCTCAGTTTTGTTCATGTCTAATAAAATAGTAGCCATACAACAGGGCTTGATCAGGTTGATGTGTTAGAAATAAACGACGAGTATTGTGGAAACCTCAGTACCAGTGTGGCTGTGAGTTTATGCCTGTCGCCTTTCTCCACTCTCTTCAAGCTCACATTAGCTCAACCAAGAAACACGGACACCAACTGTTTTAAGGGGTACAAGTGTATTAAACCCGGAGTTACCTGCCCTCTCCTCCCCAGGAGCCGTTTGGTGTGATGATCACCTCTCTGCAGTTATCTGTGTCTGTGTTGTACACGTAGAGCTTCAGGCCTTTCCCCTCGTGGCTCTCTATCAGAGAGAACAGGTCCTCTGACTGCCGATAAAGTCACAGAAAGGTGGAGAACGTGGGCAACCAGGGGAGACACACAATCACTGTCATTATCGTTATCATGTGGAGACGTTTCCAGGACCTAAAGTGCTGATAAAATACCTCATTCATAACAGTGTCGGCTCCAATGATGTAATCAGTGTGCGGCCGCAAGCCAGCGAGGGCTGCTGGGGAATTAGGCTCCACTTCCTGTAAAGAAAAGAGAGAGAGAGAGAGAATATGTAAACAAACTGCCCACTGGAGCACACAAACCAATACGATACAAACTAGACTTCGGGGTTACTCACCAGCACATGCCAAACATTCTCATTGGCTCCCTCGAAGCTGCAGAAACGAATGGAGACACCGAGCAGGCCCTGGCCCCCCCACAGGTTGCTGGGGGTGACTGTGGACTCCCGCAGCTCCAGGGTCTTTGAGGAGTAAACCAGCATCTTAACCGGTTTCTCCACACTGGCTTTCAGCAAGTCTTTCAAGGTGTCGTTGTCCTTGTTCTGCAGAAAGGGGAGGAAGAAGAGAAGAGGAGCAACCGTGAAACATACAGCCCGCTGTGACTCGTATGTGGTCCGACTACACAGAGTTTCTGGCTTTCCTTACCAGTCTGGTGTTGTTGATGGAGACAATAAAGTCAAAGAAAGGTTCCAGTCCCGCACGGTGTCCAGGCGAATTCTCCTGAACCTGCAGAAAGAGAAGAAGCAGGCTGAGCTGCTGCACACTGTCACTCTCTGCATGTACAGCATGGACAGGTGGAGCCTGAGCTGACCAGTATACAGGAGAGCTGGGCCTTCAGTGGCTTTCAAATGTCCTGTCTGAATGTGAAGTATCCCTGCAGGCAGTGTCTATTACCGTACATACAGAAGCGGTTGGAGCTTGCAGGATGGGACCAAGCCCCCTACACTGCACTGTTGTCAGGTTGAGCATCTGTCTACTACCACTAAAGGTTACTGATAGCTCCTGTTAGGATGGGACGGCTGGCTTTAACCGTCCACTGCTCGCTGCTTACTAAAGCCTTTGGCCAAATTTCGCTAAACAAAGGAGAAGAAGGAGTATTTGGTGGCGTTAACAAAACCAGCTCGGCAGCTGTCATTCCCTGCAGCTACGTAGCTTCGGCTAGCTCCAACACTTAGCCTCTGACAAAAACCTCTGAGCTGGTCATAAACAGACAACACAGCGTGGACGGGTATGAGACCCGGACACATCTCAAAAGCACACAGCGTCATTCTGACATGGTGTTGGTGTTTTCCCGACGGAGGCCCCAGCACTCATCCCCGGCCTCTCGTCACCACAGACATCAGGGGATCCTCCGCCTCCGAGCTGATGCTAAGCTAACAGCTACGAGCAGCCCGTAGCGGCTGAGCACTCACCCGGAGGACGTGGTAGCCCTCGGAGCCTCCTCCAGGTATCTCCACGCTCTGCGAACCTCCCATGGCTCCTCTCTGTTAAGGCTGTTCGGGTTTTCTGGCAGCTCGTCCCCAGCAGAGCAGAGACACCGGAACACTTCCACACACCGGTACACGTCGCCAAATGAGTAGCTGAGTGATGCGCATGCGCCGTTACGTGGCAGGAAATAACGCCTTTCCGAAATGTGCAGTTCAGTTTCCAACCGGTTTGTCTGTAATTCAAAGAGCTCATTAATATCATTATTATTAATAATAATATATAAGTGTAGAGCTGACACGAAACGTCTAAAACACAGGTCCAGGAAGGTTTTGAATGTAGTTCTCCAGTTCACCTTTCCCACCTATCACCCGACTTAATCTATTATAAATAAAATAATTATAATTCTAAATGATTTAGACATTAATATCCCCATTGAAATTATAAACTAATATTCTAACCCATTAGAACCACAGACAAACAAAGTTTGCCTATGCTCTTTTAATAAATCGGCACTTGTTTAACACTAACTCTAATTTAGTTCTCTTACAAACACTTTAATCAAGTCTATTGTGACAATGTTAATGCTCTGTTGGTTCAGTACTGTAGCACTACTGTCTCTTAGAAAATCCTGCTATTTAAAACAAAAACCACCAGTAACATTTTGGGTATGGTGATAACTAAACTAAACTCTACAGATCGCAAATATTCACAATTATATAAACCTTTCATTTGCAGTATGTGAAGTTAAATATTGTTAGAACTATCAGGCCATATCCTTCTGTATTTCATGTGTATAGTATAATATTCTGTAAATGGCTGTGGTACTTTGTTGTATCTGATATGTGTAAATCTACTCTCACGTCATCTCATCTCATGCATACACCTACATAGCCTATATATGTACAGTGCATATATATATATATTAATGTGCATGTACATGTGTGCAATGGAAAACCAACCCTGGGCTCATGAAGGGTCACGTTTTAACAGGCTTCCTTGGCACAATATCTTGTAGGTTTATTGATGTAGAATATTTAATAGGTTGCAACCACTCTGAAAAGCCAGGTCATCTTTTGCCCCTGAAGCTACTTTTCTATTGTTGCATTGAAAGTGCAGTGTATGAGGCAGGCTTTTCATTTCCCGGCCTATATGGGGCAGAGGGCAAAGCTGCTCTTTGCCATGAAGCAAGCTTGTGTGACCCAATTTCAGCATACACTCATTATATACTGTTGCCCTACTAGTTTACTTCAACTCATATCTGACATTTATTATGTATTTATCTTTAGTGTGTATCAGTCTGTACAGCTTACAGCCCAGCAGTTGAGTTGTGAGAGCTGTAGTGATGCTCTCTCTCTCTAGCAGCTCAACAAATCATCCTTTTGATGATGATTGCTATTGAGCATTGAGTCCATACAAAGCCATTGTGGGACAAATAAAGGAATATCTTATCTTATCTTATCTTAATGACCTCTCCACAACTCTATTCTAGATCCCAGACCTTTTACATCACTTTTAGACATCAATGTAATATCTTGGTGTAAAAAATGAGTCCATGACAGAAACTATGATTTTATTAACACAAATTGTACTCAAAACTAACACCACATATTCAACAAAGCCTTTTTACTTCCTGTCCCACAGATAGTGTTGCTTCCTACTCCCTACAGAATAAACATGTTGGAAGCTATTTTTTTTACAGTGAAATCTCTTTTCTATCTACCGCTCCACGCTTCACCTCTATTTCAACCAGAATGATGTTCTTAAATATATGCATATACAATCCAATAGGGACTTCCTTCTGTATATATCATGATTACTAATGTGATTTTTCTTTGTAGATTTTAAAACCCCTTATATTGAACCCAGTGCCCCTCATCTTGGGCCTCCAAGAAAATGCAGCAGATTAATGGAAAAGTACCAAATGTTTAAGGTTGACAGAGAGTGCTGTTTGATTTAGTGCCACTAGAGTATCTTACATGGACATTACATTCAAAAACAGACTCATTGTTTTCAATTTGGGAACCTTATCTGAACTATGTGGAGCCTGGTGTCTCTGCCATTGTGCTGCAAGGATTTTATTGATTGCTCCTCTGGTGGTGTGTATATGAATCTGAGCTGCAGTTCTGTGCCTTTGGTTTGTTTGCTTTTGTTTTTATTATTTTGTTTCAGAATGTAATCTTCTACTTGTTGTAAAAGTAAAAAATAATGAATATATTGTCTGAAAAAACCCTTGTTTTTATGTTTTTTCCACATGATTGTGCAGACAGAAAGTCACCACCAGAGGGCGATGGCAGCACACTACATCCTCATTGCTAAGCTCACTATATACCTTGAGCCTCACTCCACAGCCACATTTTTATGCCCTCCATGTAAAGGTTATGAAACACTGTAACCAGTGCCTTTGTTTCACTGTGAATGGTGGCTTAGTGAGGCAAATCACATCATACTCACAGCTGATGAAAGACAAGAAGAGAGGAGAGATTGGGAAAAAAATAAGAAAAAGAGACAAGTAAGGGAGGAGCACATGCCCAGGAAGAAAGGAATAAATGAGTAGAAGAGAGGAGAGGAAAGAGATGAGAGAGAAGAAATGCAGAGGAAAGGAATAAAGGAGAAAAATAAAGGAGAGAAGGAGCTGATGGGAGAGGAGTGTTTCACACTGGAGAACAGTCAATCCGACACACAGCTGGGGGGCATACAAAGCCTCCTCCAAGATGATTAGGCAGAGAGGCAATAATGTGTGTGTGGGTGTGTGTGTGTGTGTGGCTAGTGACAGTTCAGAGGCAGAGTGGGATTACAAACAATAATAAAATGTCTGTCATTTTTGAAGAGCGCTGTTTGTGGAGCCACAGAGAAAATGGTCGAGTGTGAAATAGACTGTGTGTATTTGCTTCAATAAATGAGACTCACTTTTTCCTTTAATAGACTTTATTAAAGATCTTTTCGAGATGGTATGATTCTGTTAAAGTGCCTACTGAAAACCTCCTGGGAAACGTTCCCTTACAGCTGGCTTAATCAAAAAACCAGATTGGTCACATACAGGAGTCATTGGCCACATACAGTACACAGATTATCTTAAATATGATTTATGCAATTGTGCCATTCACATATGGTCCCTAGATACCATAAATACTTTGTTAACATAAGTCTTATAATACATAGTACACGTCCATTTACAATGGAAGAAAGAATGGTGAACATTGTGCAAAGACACAAACAGGAACTCTTTATATAAGATATTCCATTGAGCTCCCATAACACTGAGAATACAGGTAATACGTATTACAATTAATATATTATATTACAGTAAATGCATTAGGATTCAGACAGATACAACAATCCTTTCTTCCCAGTCTCTAGAAGAGAGTACATTCTCACATCCTTGTGCTTCTCTAAAATAAAAGACCGGCATGACTACCAGAGGATCATATAGACTTCATTCTTAATCTCATCAGAAGGCCAGTCAGTCGTCTCAAAACATTCAGTCAAAAAGACTCACAATCACAGAAAGAAACACACTATAGAAATTGCATCGCAGTCGAGGGTCAATAGGTAACATTTTACAAACATCTATAATCTATAGGTTCTGTATGAAGGACAATGGATTGCTCTGTTCCCGATTCTCTTTCTTTGGCTGACAAAATCACTATAAATAATCTTTACTCAAATTCCTGTGATTACATTTACAAATGTATTACTATGTAATACACATAAAGATACATTTACAATAAAATACCTGAATCTGCAAACAGTGGAAATGCAATAAATATTTGTTCTTATATAATCAAATATTAATATTTTAACATGTTAAAATATGTTATAAACACATATGGGTAATCACATGATTGCATGACACAGACAACGAGCCAGCGTTTTACAGGTTAAAGGTTGTCACAGACCTGGGATAGCTGTAGACATTTTCAATATTAATCTTAAACTTCTAGGAGGGCAAATATTGCAGACTGTAGACCAGCTGCTGGAGGTTATCAGAATCCTCTCAGTATAATACACTCTGTACCTATGGTGTGCACATTAGGTTATAATAAGCTTATTTTTTTTATCATACTGCTAGCCTAAAATATAGGACAGGATACACTCTGTGTGCCACATGCACACCTGCACACACGCGCGCACACACACACTGCTTCAGGGGTCTGGACACTGGTTTAGGACAAATAGGTCGGTGCACTGAGAGTAAATATAATGTACAGCTGAAAGCACCAATGATTCAATTTTGTGTAGCAAATGTATGATACAGCAGAATAATTTCATGATACTTTGTTATATTTTGATCTGTGCTTTTCTCCCTTTCAGTGTTTCACCACATACAAACATACACACACACACACACACACTCAGGCACACACACACTTAGACATTAATAGACAAACTACATTGGACAAGAAACTAGATTACACACACACACACACACACACACACACACATTACAAGATTCCACAGCACACACACACACACACACACACACACACACACACATTAGAGCATGTTTGTTGTACCTGGAGCCTTCAGATACTTAGTACTTATATATTTTATCTAGAGGAGGAACTATGTGGGATGAGCAAGTGAGAAAGTCAACGCCTCTCTCATTGCTTTCTGTTCGGTTGGAGAAACAGTCAGAATGCTTCAGGCAAACACACACTGGCTACAAAGAACCTAAAACATGTCTATCATTATTCTGTCTGCAGCACTGTGAAGGTTTCACCTCAATGGCAATTGGCCTGGAAATACAACAGATAAAGACTGTAGGTTGCTTGATGGCCGAGAGGTCTACAGGTCGCGACCCATCCTCTCAATCTCATCAATGAGGAAGTCGATGTCCGACTGGGTGGCCGCAGGATTGGACACGACCATACGGAAGAAGTTGACTTTATTGCCCTGAGGCTGGTAACCCACCATGGTGGTCCCTGACTCCATCATCATGGCCTTGATCTTTGGTGCCACCTAGTGGAGTCAATAAAATGACAAATTAGAGCTTTTATTCCTGAGGGGAGAACGCTATATGAAACCATCATTCATTGGATGAATAAAAAGGGAAGGCTGAACATGAAAGCTGATAGGTGGAAATATCTGAAACCAATTCATTTACTTTTCATTGTATTGTTATTTAACACACAGTGCACAATACATGTATTGCTCATTT